TTTGAGTTGCTCATTCATAGTGTTTCCCTGTTTTTCTCACATCCTCTTAACCTTACCCCAAGCCAATGCTTAGTGGATAGTTTTATGAAGGCTTCTACACAGTTATCACTAACAGTTGAATGGAGATCAGAGTGGAGATCAATGGATTGATTCAATTAACCATGGCAGTGATTAGTGGCTGAATGGGTTTCTAGAGATGAAATATATGGACAGTCTACTATGGTGCTAATCTACATATATAGAATGAAATGTATAGTTCTGCGGGACAGAAATGTAATCCAAATGGACTTTGTAGTGATTCCTGGCCTCTTACACAATTCCCAGATCTAGGCTATGTCACAGACTCAGTCCTTCAACTGAAGGTTGGGGTGTGCCTTTTGAAGAATAATCTTTTATATAGTTATAGGTGGTCCATGTATCTTCCTAATAAAGCCTTCCTCAGTGAAATCTGAGGCCATTTATGATTATGAGTATTTACTGGTGAAAGAAAAATATTGAGACCTTTTAGAAGTTATTAGTACTGGTTCTGAAATTATGCTTATCTCTGAAATGCCACTGCTTTACCTGTAGGAGCACAAGACTACTGAGGTCAGGGATGATGCGATAACAAATTCATCTTTTGTTTGGTTTTGTTTTTACCCCCCACAGTACCTGAATGTATAGTATAGCTGATATACTTTGTAATAGAATCTCCACGTTCGAATGAGAAGTATTACGTAGAAAAGCTCAGTTGGAAGATCTTGCCGTGCCCTTTCAGACTCATCGAGACTTTAAACTGAAAGCAGTTCTGTATTCCTTCGGGACTGATAGGGATTAGTGTCACCTTAAAAGGCTTGAGAGTTACACGGGTGGTGATTCCAAAACATTCCCATTCACCTCACTAGATTGGACAATGAAAAAGCTAGACAAGCCATAGAAAATAATAGAAACAATAGAAAATTATTAAAAACTGAAACAGGATCTGAAAAACATTTCAAAAATTTTAGATGCTGAATTTCTATCAAAACAGATAAACAAGTACTTGAGTCCAGAAGTAACTTCGAAAAAGAATTCTTTTGTATTCTAACCAGTGAATCTCCAGTTGAATCTGTCAAAGTTTTTTTTAAGATATTTTAAAAGATCTCAATAAATAAATAGATATTAATTCTCCTCAAATTGACTTTGACTTTTATTGATTCAATAAAATTCCTATCAAAATTCTACCTGGTCTTAGTTTGCTTTTTTAGATGTATAGAGCAAATTTTAACAGAATTTCTTCCATTGATTGTAATAGACAAAATTGACAAAAATAACTAAAGCTGCCTGAAAAAGTTAAAATATATGATATTTCTTGCCATACCTATATTGAGATATTTCTAAGGTAAGTAATTAAGATTTATGGCACTAGTACATGGATGACTAACTAAATAAGCAACAGAATAGAAGCAAAGAAATAGACATATTTATATGGGGAAACTTGATCTGTAACCAAGAAAGCATTAGAGATCAGTGAGTAAAAGATGGACTTATTCAATACATACAGCAGACACTTATTTGTATGAAAAAAATCAACTTAGATTTCTACTTCATATTACATGCACTCACACACAATATTTCTTATGTATGAGATTTAAATATAAAGGAAAGGACTTTAAATATTTTAAAAAGAAATATAATAAAAAATTCTTTTGTCCTAGTTTATATAAAACATCATTAAATATTAGTAAAGTGTAAAACATGCTCAAAGTAATTGAATAATTCAAATATATTAAATTTCAGTTTTTGTACTCATAAAGAAGGTGAATGTCTACTTCAACTAGAAGATAAACTCAATACATACAGTTAACAAAGGCATTTATAATTATAATATAAGTATTCTTACAAATCAATATGAAGAGAACAATAATGGGCATATGTCATAATTAAGTATTTCTAGAAAGAAAAAAATTAAATATCTCCAAATGTATGAAAAAATTCCTCAACCTCATGTTATCATGAAAATGCAGAGAAAAACCACAATGAGATATGATATTACACACAGCCCAAAATGGAATACTCTGACAATGACAATAG